GCTTTACAACACATTCTACTTTAGAGCGTTTAAACTCGAATTTTACACCTCAAATTACTCATAAAATGTTTTTGTTTCTTCTGTAGACTCAATACCCAAAGTTTTTAATACTCTAAAATGAAATCACAGAAAACGTGTTAATCCTAGATGTTTGAAATAAAGGTCTGGTGCGCCGATGCTGTTAATATCATGGAAGTAAGACAAAAAGAATATGTGCGGCGAAAGAAAGACGCACATGTACTGAACAGCCTGCTGAAGTGATGGAAATGAATGAGTGAAGATATCGCTTGCTGGCTCTGCTCTCCCATTGAACAAAATATGCAGAGCTAATAATTGATTTTGGAGATTGTGAGCATGAGGTTGTAAAATTAATCAGCTTCCTAAAAAGTGCATTCTGTATCATTATTATTCTATTGTGTTTGAAGACTTTCTGTAGACCCGTGACTGTTCGTTTTTCATACATAAGCAGCTGCCATAGAGTACTTTTGAGGAGGAAAGGGACATTTTGGCTTGCCGAAAATTTTATATACAAATCTGGGAGATACACATTCATGGGGAGATCACTGTTCAAGCGGCAAAGTGCCAGGGAGACCACTCTGTCGCATAGAGTATCGAGGCAGATTACTCTGGATTTCTGTGGTCACAACAAATGTTTTAGCAAACTAAAAAAGACATTGTTGAGTCTGTAAGTATAAGTATTTCAAGCTCGAAATCAAAGCTCTTGTTTTGAATGAAGAAATGCACCCTGGTTTTCTAGTTATGTTTGTCATATTTGCTCAATTTCGTTTCGAAACGGAAAGAGTAATGTGGCCATTACGGGCTGACGATAACACAACCGGGATCGCCTGCTGACTTTGCTCCGTCATGAGATCTGCATCTCTAGAGTCTAGATCTTGATCTAGATCTAGATCCAGTCTGTGGCAATTAAAGAGAAGATTGATAGGCTTCTCCCTCACCATGTTAATTCAATAGGTTGAACTTGTAGTTTTGATATTTACTGCTGTTTCTGTGGAACACATTTCTGAAAATGTATTCTTTTGTTTGTCAAAAACCACTGGATCAGGAATCTAGACTCTAGAGTCTAGTGAGGAGAGTGTAGATCTAGATCTAGATCTAGAGATCTAGATCACTCCTTGTCCTGTGTCTGTGCTGAGATGCGAATCTTATCAGCAACCAACTAGATCTAGATCTACATCGGATGTTCCGGGCAGGCCGCCTGGACCACTCAGTGTGTACTGTTGGTGACCAGCGCGCGCGCGCCTGGAAACGTGTTTTCCCCATGAATACCGTTGAAGTGTGTTAATCGATGATGAAAATAACGGCAACGCTCTATCTTTCATAGCTTTCTATTTATAAAGTAAAATTAAATGTTACAAACACAGGCTGGATTGTACTTTACCGGACCACCCGTCTCGGCCCATAATTACTACGCACGCCTAGCCTAGCTACGCACTCATAGTACTCTACGTGCGGACAAAGGTAGTTCCGCGGGCGACTTTGCGCACGCACAGCGCAAGCCAGCGGCGACTGGCGAGAGGTGGTGGTTGAGAGTGGGCAGGGGATTTAACTTTACTTTGGTGGACCACCGTGTATCATACCAACAGTGGGGAAGGGGGGGGGGGGGTTTGCCCCCCTGGAAATATGTTTATGAGAACCCCCAACATCCCATACCTGCTAGCTGGCCTCAGAACTACCTTTTGTCATTCTCCTCTTCACAAAGAAACTACAGTCGTTGTAAAAAGTTATATTTGAAGTGTCCACGTACATGGGCACATAGTCTCAGAGTCTACACGTACACACAGTAACAGGAAGGTCCACCGTCTTTCTACATAGAAACCTGTGTGTGCACTGTGCAAACTCCGACATTCTCCGATGTGTGCATTGTGTAAGGCCACATTTGACAATTGCCATTTCAGCTCAGCCTTTTTTTTTCGCTCTATCCAAGTTCATAGTCATAAACACCTTGTTGTGCAGATCTAGATGAACGACTACTCTATCTGACGTCAAGGTCAAAGATGACCCTCAAAGTTAGGCATTTGTAAGCCTATTTTTTACTTCTTAAATATTCCTCGTATAGTAGAACATGAGTATAGCCTATAGCGGCACCCGCTGCTGTGGGACCATCCCGACAGCCGGACTGTACGGGAATCCCCTTTTTTTCTATGTAAACTCAATTACTATGTTTGGGTTTAGCGAGGCAAGGAAAATCCCAACTTGGATACAGCGGGAGAGATCGAGCGAGCTCTAGCTGGGGAAAGGGTTGGGCGATGGGGGGAGCTGTAGGCGGGCTCCCGACAGGCAGTCAGGGGTGCAATGTTGTGATTGGCTAGTCCAGTGATGAGTGAGGTGGGGCAGGCGGCAGAGAGAGATGGTGCGGAGAAACGCGCATACGGAACGTGAGCCACTCCAAAATGTGCCATAGCCTAGACGCTGCACTCAATACCCTATAAGAGCACAAAGGCCATAGCTAGGCCAAAAAGTAAAAAAAGAGGAGAGTGTGTAGTGTGTGATTCCTGAATATTGAATTGTGATCGTTGATGCTCAGGCATACACACGTATCCATTTCACCAGTTCTACAAGGCGTACCGGTACGATAGACAGCTCAAACAAGACTGAGGAAAAGATGGCTTCCAACAAAGACAAAAGGAAATGCTTCTCACTCGAATTAAAGGCCGAGAAAATCAATGAAATTGACAAGAAAAGGAAGACAGATCTATACTATCTAAAGCGCAATTTTATTAATATATCTATGATATATATATATATATATGGAAGGGAGGTATAATTCCCCATTGCATTCCTATTAGGGATGGACAGGTACCGGTACCCAGTACGAAACTCCCGGTTCTACTGGAGGAGGTGTCAGTACCAGCATCAGGCCTCCAGTACCACCTCTTGGAAGGAGCCAACACCAACGGTTTTTTACCGGTCTCAGGAAGTGTGCAGTGTGTAGGCCTAGGCCTGACAGCTGTGAAGTCAGATGCCCAGCGTAGTGGGTGACCTTGATACCTGACTTCAGATTCAAAATTGACAATCAAAAAAAGTTTGCATAAGTTTAAATATGTTTTATGGCTTCAAATCAGGTTCTACGCAAACCACTTTGCTTATTTTGATACAATGATTCCGAAAATAAAATAATTTTTAGTGGCGATAATTTATTTTAAAAATTCTGCTTGTAAAGTTTAATCCCACATGGCAGCAAACTTCAAAGGGATTAAATTTTGCGTCACAGCTCGTCTCTCCAATTCTGACTTTTGTGGGGGGGGGGGGTGTGCAGGCAGCCCTGATCGTGGCGATTGACATGAGACGCTCAGTCTCTGACGTCACCTCCTGATGTCACTCCCTGTACTGGTACAGATATTGGCGGAACTCGACACCCAGTGCCGGGAAAGGACCGGTACCACTCAACACTAATTTCCTATAGCGGGAACTTGCCTACAGCGGGATTTTTTTTCTGGAACCAAAAGTCCCGCAATAGCCATGTTCCACTGTATAACGACTGTTCATATCCCACAAGACAAGTATATATAAAGAGATCTATATATAAAAGGACTTTCCATTTATGGTATATTTGAAATAAGTGTCCGTTATTTTGCTAAAAAACAACCATTAAGATGTTTTTAAACACTATAGACCCAATGCATAAATAATTAAATGGATGGGATTAGGGCGAAGAAGTTTCTGATTAGAATTGTTTCCAGTCTATACGGTTTTGAAATAAATTTATGGCTGTGCCATCTTGTTATTTTTGGGATCCAGACCCAAAATAATGGGAAACAGGCCATAAAATGGTCTTGTGATTGTAAACTGCTTACATTCCACTCATAACACACAAAACGCAGGGAAAAAATGAAGTCAAGGTCATGAAGGGAGCAAAGCAGTTACCGTGCACCTAGTTCAAGGGGCCCCTGAAACTAAGTGCCCGGTTACCGTGTACATAGACACTCCCAAAGTTATTTGTTCAGATACTTGAAATGTCGTAGCCAGAACAAACTTACTTTTAATTGAAATTAAAATGGCCATTTAGACCATTAGTCATTAGTAATCAATAGTAATGAAAGTAAGCTAGTAAGAATTCCTTTCCTTTCTTCTCATTATTTGGGAGAAAATTTGTAGAAATAAAAATAAGTTTCTACTTTGAACGCTGTGTAATCTATTTTAGAATATTATACTCACTTAATTTGATTTGAATTGAATATGGGACTAAGTGGGATTCTCATCCTTCACCTGATTACTCTTAAGATACTAGTCATCTCATTAGCAAAGGTGAAAAGATCAAGTCCAACAGTTTAAATATCTAGGAATAAATATATAATATCTGACACGAATGTTCCTCAGAAATAAAACGAAAAATTGCAATGAAATGGCTAAGGCTAGTTTCAATAAAGTGAGCCCAATCTTGAAAAGTAGAAACATCTCAATGACTACCAAAATGAAAGTTCTGAAATGCTATGTATGGTCAACCCTTCTATAATATGGCTGTGAATGCTGAACAATCACTAAAGATAGTGAAAATAAAATAGAAGCAACAGAAATGAGGTTTCTTAGGAGACTGCTGAGAATATCGTGGAAGGAAAAGAAATCAAAGGAGGTTGATGCTTTAAGCCCATGTGGGACGCTCACTGTTTAAAACAATCAGGAAACAACAGTCTTTGGGACACCTGAATTGACATAAAAGTCTTGAACATCTAGCTTTCATTGGCAAAATTGAAGACAAACGAGGCAGGAGTAGGCCCAGAGCAAGCTACCTAGGGAACCTAAACAAATGGGTAACGGGGAAAGATCAGGAAAGCATAGCTTTTTTAAGAGCATCCGAACAAAGGAATGAATGGAGAACCATGATCGCCGATGTCTGTCGCAGATCTGGCACTGGATGATGACTGACTTAGTATCTGATTAATGACAGCTCTGAATAAAAAAAGAAGTTATCAGGATTCTAAAGTTATGACCTTGATTTTAGGCTGACAGACAACTCCCCTAAGCTGGGTTTACTCATAATCATGCTCTCTTGCCTTTTTTTTTGAGGGGGGGGAGGGGAGTTGTTTTCTATATGGCTGACTTGTAATACTTTCTCTAGTCTACAGTTGCCTACAGGACATAGAACTGGAAATTTTATTACATTGGAATTCACCCATGTCATTGCTATTTCTTTTGCCTGTTTTCACATTTTTATAAGTTTTTTAGAGGATTTTATTACTCACTTTTGTTTTTGTGATTATTTCCTTTTTATAGTGAAGTTAATACAGGTCATGTGTTTGTATTCAAAAGTAGTCCTTCCATGTACGTTCTTATGGATGCAAGTGATTGATGGGCAAGCTGTTATAATAATCTTCTTCTTTTATTTCTTTTCGATGTTGCCACATTTCATTCATTATCTTTATCTGCTGCCTGTGAAATATGGGAAGACCTGCTGATTGTGACACTTCAACAACTTGTTTCAACTCAATCTTATTTCCTTCTTTCTTAAAACAGACAAAGATGCCTAAAGACAAAGACTCCACAAATCATCCTTGCCATCTGCTGAGTTTGCCCTCTGCCAAACGGTTTTGGTGCCGCCATTGCATGTCTGTGTTCGACGATGCAATTACTAGGTGGCGCCACAGTCGTTCTTGTCGTTATGGGGTGGTGAACAATTTCATGCGACGGCGTGAACTGGAGGCAAAAGCCCTGCAAAACACAGTGGCCCTCAGCCCTGTGGAAGCCAGACTTGGTCAAAGTATTCAAATGTCTGACCTAGCTGGTAGTGGCAGCCAGTCGGGTGTGCCAATCCAGAACGACCTCGAAGGTCATCCAGATTTTCAGCCTGCAAATGATGCGTTTACCTGCTTTATCTGCCATCAACAGTTTGGGTCGATGGAAGCAATGAGGAATCATGTGAAGTATCCATGCAGTAGTAGCAAAATTATTACGTCCCGTGTCCCACATCCAAAGCACTCCATTCCGGTGTTTATAGATACTTTGCCAAGTCAGCCTCGACCTTGGCAGACAGGACCCTCAGAGACGCAGCAGGTGACTTTGCCTCCTACTCCTCCTTCTATAGTCCAGGCTCATCATAATGAGACTGTTGACGTTGCTCCCACAATTCAGTTCCAGACACCCCAAAGCATGACAGAGCAACAGATTATCAGTGGAATGTCTTCCTCTGGAGAAGTCGCTGCTGCTGGCAAGTCAGTAGAAGGCATCACGCCAACCAGTATCTACGTTAATGACCAGGGGGAGACTGTCATTGAGGTGGAGAATCTGGACCTCAATACGGAAGGTGGTGAGCTTTCTCTGGCCCATCTTCTCACCCAGCTGTCTCAGCAGGGCATCGTCTTTGACAAAACTAGAACAGGACAGTTGCAAGCTCGCCAGGAGACTCCTGCCACTGCCAACACATCGTCGCACCTGTACACGACGGAGCCCACATATGAAGTGTCTAGCATTTCCTCAAACATCGCAAGAGAAGAAGAAGAACAGCCAACAGCTGAGGATGCGGCAAATACTCTGGCTCAACTCGCTGGTTTCAGGGGCTTCCGTAGCAACCCAACAGCATCGACCTCGTACCAAGTGGGTTCTAACGCTGAGATGCAGCAAGTCTCGACTCAGGAGCAGACAACCGTATGCTATACGAAGCCGGAACCCCATGAGAATTATGCAATGGATATTCAGCCCCATGGGAGTGTTCAGTATGAGTATAAATATTCTGCTACCCCTCAACAATATATTCCAGCACCCCAGCATCCTCACCAAACAACCCCTGTTCAAAGTACGATCGAATCTACCCCCCAACACTTTGAAGAAATTAAAGTAGAGAATACAATCGATGCATATTATGATGTGGCATATGTTGCTACTTCAGAAGCGAATGTTCAGCCTCAAATTGAAGTTGTCAATAATGGGGTAGGCGGACCGGTCACTCAGGGGTTGGAAGATATTAAACCACAAGATACTGTCTTGTTGCAGCAGTACAATCCCAGTGAAACGAGCAGAGAGCACTTTGTGACCTCTGAGGGAGTGACTGTAGTGAGCACCTCAAAAATGGACAGTTCTGAGACTGCAATTTTAGTATCACACATAGACGAACAGGCCGAATCAATGAAAACCTCGCAGAGGGAGCAAAGCGTTGTGGAATTTCAAATGGAAAATTTGTCCAGTGGCCAAAACTTAGAACAGCAGCCAGATGCTTCAGTGGGTGTGCAGGAGAGGGGTCATGAACCTGGACACGTGCAGGAAGAATCCTGCCCTCAGGTCGTTGAGGAGGTGAAGGAGAAGGAGGAAGAGAAAGGTGAAGAGTTCACTATACAGACAGTAACGCTGCAGGAGATTGTGGAGTCGGAGACGTCGTCTTCTCTCCCTTACCCAGAGCAGAAGGCCTCAACTAGCACAAGCGATGTTCTACCTACAATCTGTTTCTCCGAACCAGGCAATGTCACCACGCCTGAGCAGCAAGCCGGGGAAACAAGGGAGGTAATTTTGCAAGGATCGAGCACTGTGGAGCAAGGTGCTCTTGAAACCGAAGGGCTGACTGTACCTATTGAGGACATAGCTGGGTCTGTGCAACTGCCTTCACAAGGCTCAAACCAACCGGCTGCAATGTATGTGGTCACTTCTACAGGTATTCAGCCGGTGGGGATCAAGATGTCTGACTCGAGTACAGGTAAGAGGCATTTGCATTCATCTAGTTTTTTAAAGTTCAGAGCATATTCAAGCTCAATACAATACACCCTCATACCAGGGTTGGGTTGATTTAAATCAAGTTGATTTACATCAGTTGATTTTTAAAAATTTTAATCAACGTGATTTTTAAAATAAAAATCAGTGATTTAAATCACTTTTTAAAATATTTATTTTTATTCAGTTTTTACACATTTCAACATTCAGAGTTCCTTTCCTTGGTTTCATAAAACAGATATAAGGTTTAGTAGACTAATATATTCATGCTTAAAAGTCTGCTTTCCCCCCTTTCACTGTAAAATAATATAGATTCAAATTACTTTTTTTTCCATAATTGAAATCAGAGCTGGGTTGATTTAAATCAGTTGATTTTTTAAATTTTAATCCACTTGATTTTAAAAATAAAAATCAGTGATTTAAATCACTTTTCAAAAAATGTATTCAGTTTTTACATATATTTAAACATTCAGAATTCCTTTCCTTGGTTTTATTAAACAATATAAGGTTTAGTAGACTAATATAATCATGCTTAAAAGTCTGCTTTCCCCCCTGTCACTGTAAAATAGTACAGTTGTTAATTTACTTTTTTTTCATAATTGAAAACCAGGGTTGGGTTGATTTAAATCAGGTCGATTTAAATCAGTTGATTTTTAAAAATTTAAATCAACTTGATTTTAAAAATAAAACTCAGTGATTTAAATCACTTTTTAAAAAAGTATTCTGTTTTTACATCTTTAAACATTCAGAATACCTTTATTTGGTTTTATAAAACAGATGATATAAGGTTTAGTAGACTAAAATAATCATGCTTAAAAGTCTGCTTTCCCCCCTGTCACTGTAAGTAGTAAAATAATACTGTAGATCTATTCAATTTACTCTTTTTTCATAATTGAAATTAGCATTTTCTTTTTCTTTTTAGACAAACACAAGCGCGCGCACACACACACACTGTAATAAAAATGCAAGTTTATCTACGCATAATTACCCCCCACCCCCCCTTCCTTTTAGACTGACATTTTCTTCATTTTTTGTCTGTAGCCATAATTCACTGATATAGATCTAGCAGATTAAGGCTTTCTAAAATTGCAGTTGCTTAAATTTATCATTAGTTAAAATAAAGACAATGCATTTTGCACTAAAAGAACTTACTGTTAGCCACCAAAAATCCCAAACTGTCGACATATTTTAAAAAATAAAAAATAAATAAAAAATCCGATTTAAATTTAAAAAATCTTGATTTAAATTTTAAAAATCGATTTTTTAAATTTTTATTAAAAAAATTAAAAAAATCACCAACCCTGCCTCACACAGTACCTAAATCTTGAAAAAAGAGGCATAGAAATAATGTCAATTTTTCTAAATTACCTTGTTTCCGGCAAACATGTCAAGTTTGCCAACTGTCCCAAATTTACTGGAGGAACTGTCCTGAATTCGGCTACCTGGGAATTCGAGAGGACAGTTACTAAACACCAAAACCAGTCTCACTTGATATTATTTTTTCCAATGTTATGTAATCTGATGTCATACGTTATGCGAGTGTCCCTGACTGGGTTTTGACAAAGTTGGCAGGTCTGCATAGAGGTTTTTCATCATCTAATACATTGTAAACAGCAGATATGCCCTTTATGTTGTGCAGTGTCTCTTTCTATCTTATTATAGTATTACACAAACACTCAAGTGCGTCCAGTATGTAAAATTGTTCCACATCCCTTCCGGACATTGGGGATTGCCTTGTTAGTGAGACAACTTCTTGGGCCTTCGGCATATTGTGGTAGGATGGCCAGTTCCTTTCCACACTGCCTTTACTTCCCCAACTCGAAGTCAGGTACCCATTACTGCTGGGTGGGCAGGAGGGGGCAAAAAAATCTGTGTCCGAACCGAGGCTCGAACCTGGACTTTCCGCTTCGGAGACGAGCGCACTAACCACTCCGCCACCCCCCCCCTCCCCAATATTGTTTTATGTATGTCATACTACTGTTTTAACGGTCACAGAATTTTGTTTATATATATATATATTTGCAGTGGAAAACTTTAATATAATAATATAAGAGGGTTGGTGATTTTCGTGTTTGTACTATTGAATCTGCTACTGTAACGGCCACCTGTGTAAGACAATCACCTGTACAAATGAACACCCCTCCTTCTTTGCCTTCCTTTTTGATGAAAAGATATATCCTGGATCTATATTAAATAGAATTCAAAATATTTGCAGTTGGAGGAAGTCATGGTTGCCTGGTTTCAGAGGTAAAATTAGCAATTAGCATCAAAGTTTGGTATAACTTTCATAGCTTGAGAGTCCATGGAAACTGAAAATTTACATTTTGGCGCCTTTAATCCATGTTTTTCAGTAAAACCCACTCAAAAATGTGTAATGACGGGATAGAATCAGGTATTCGTCAAATTTTGAACATGTGGAGTTATTGGTATCATCTTAAAGCTTGGTTATTTGTCTTGCTATCGGTGGAAAAAAAAGCCCATCTCTATCTTCAATAGAATTTGAAATATTTGAGATTGAAGGTCAGGTTGCCCGGTTTCAACGGTAAAATTAGTGAGAAAATTATGGCTGCCAAAGTTTGGTTATTCCCAATGCTTGATAGTTTGTGGAAACTGAAAACTGACATTTTTTTGTTCTTTTAATCGACATTTTTCAGTAAAACCCACACAGAAATGTGTTCTTAACAACAGTGGTATTAAGCCGAAAAACAAAAATTCAATAAAAATTGCAAAAAGCCAGTTTCTTCAATTTCATTATTTTGACAAGCGCTTGATTTCACCACACTGCCTCACAATTGTGTTTTTTAAATGTACATAAAGGTGTTGAGCCCCCCAAAAAAATTAGAAAAAAAAAATTGCCCCTCAGCCCCCCAAAAATGCAGATTTCTTTGATTTCATTATTTTGACGATCACGATGCCACATATATTTAGTCTGCGAGGACTACACTGCTGGTTAATGAAGTCATTTAGAAATAATATTCTGCAGTTCTTGAAAATAGGTAGGGCCAATTGTCTTGTGAGTGGCCATCACTCGATCCAAAAAGACTAACCCTGTGAAAAATACTAACATTTTTTGTGTAGAGATGTAACTGTTATCTGCTTCTTTGGTATGCTGTACCTTATTAACTGTTTTGACCTGCAAATTTTAAATGTTACATGGATCATGTTGTGACGAGTTCCTTTATAGCTACTTCATTTTCCTTACTATGACAACTTTGAACATTTTGCAGCCAGTAGCCTACCTCTACTTTATAAAACATTTTCAGATACTGATCTAGAGAAATGTACTGTTTTCGAGAATGGTTTGGTCCTCTATAAAATGAATTGGGAAAGTTTTAAGAGTTTCACAGGGGAAACCTGTTATTACCAGAAAATTCCAAGTGCCACAAAAAGATTGGATACTAATTACAAACAGTCTTGATTTTGATTAGCCAGACACTTAATGTATTTGCAGTGGTTGGGTTTGCTTGCCAGATGTTTGAAACTAGACTGTGGACCTGGGTTTGAATACACACAGCAGCATTGTTTCTACACACCTGAGAAGTTCTTTCTGGAACTGTTGATTGCTATAAAGGCTTACTTTGCATGTTGTCCATTAGAGATGGAATTTAAGTTGAAAGTGTTTTCTTTACAAACTTAAAAAAGGCAGCTTCGTGTTGAAAGAGTGCGCAAGTAAACCTGTAAGAAATTAAGAAGATTAGACTGACTTGAAGTTTTATTGATAAATGATTGACAAATTATGCCTTTTCCCTTTCATGTTTTCTTTATTTCTTTGATAAAATATTGTGTTTGGATGTAGGGGGAACACTTTCTCATTGTTTTCACTTTCATCCAGGAAGAGAAACTTGTATCGTCATTTCCTATTTTGAAATTAATGTGGGACATTAGCTTGACTTTCTTCTGACCAAATAAATATTAACTGCCGTGATGCCCCGGTCAAGTGCAAAGATTAGTGTGTTGGGGGATTGGCATCCAGAAATGATCTCGCCCACTTTCAGGATGAGGAAGGGGAGGCTCACTTCAGAGCGCTGAAGTCACTGCATTAATTTTTGCTAGTGAAAGTAGTGTGGATATATTATCATGCTGCTTTGCTACCCAGTCAGTAGCATGTGTGGGCATTATATGAGCTCACACAAATTTGTGCAAAAGTAACCAAGTTTGAGAGGGTCCAGGTCTATAAGTTCCCCCCCCCCCCCCCCCCCCCCCCGTGCACCCACACTCACAAGATGTTAATTTTAAACACAGGCATGTTTTTTTTTAAATCCTAGAAATGTAATCAGGGGATCCAATGACTTGTCAAACACTTTCAGTTTTTGTTCTTTTGTAAATTGTTATTGACTTTGTCATTATGTGTACTAACAATGATTTATGTGTATTTACAATTATTGGAACAATAGTCCTATTGGTATTGAAATGTCAAGATTTTACTGTTGTTCATTTGTTTGTTGTTTTTTGTTTCAATTCTCAGGTTGATGAGCTGTGTTGTAGCTGTGAAGCTGACTCTTCGAGAGAAGCCAGAAAGATGGTGGTGAAAAATTTGCCTTGAGCAACACTCAGCTGATCAATGTGGGAGGATGGCTCGAGTTTGATATTTTGACGTTTTGATGGCCACTTTCGTGAACTGACATGTGGGGGGTTGTTAGATTTGTGCAACTTGGTAATGACTTATTATTAAAATCTTGTAAGAGGTTTCATGGTGTGAAGGGATGATTTAGTGACTGACATAATTAATATGTTGCCATCTTGTTTTAATGAGCTTTTGCATTACCTTTCAAAGTATTGTCTTAGCCTCACTCTTTTGAGATTGTTGCATTTTGCGTGTTGGTTTACTGTGGAAATACTGTTAACGATAATAATGATGCAATGGCATTGGTTGCTAAGTGTTCTAGACTGGCAAAACTACTCCATGGGAACAAGGAAACTGATTCTGTCTTTATTTTTTTTCCATCTTATCTTGCTTTTCAATAGAGGGGGGGGGGGGGGGGAATTTCCCTGATCGTGGCCTACAGTATTAAATATGGCCCGACACCGCGGCGCTTGACGTCACGATCCGCAGCATTCGCTCTCTGCACACAAGCGTAGGGGCCTAGCATTTCCTACTCTACGGCACAGTGGCTAGGTTGTTATTGTTATTGCATCATAGTTCTACATCATATTGTGCTACATGCTCATGCAGATAAAGAGTTGTGTGTTAAAGAGTCAGTTGTTAGTACAATATGCTTTACAACATTCACTATTCTAGAAGTATCATGTTACAGAGAGAGAGAGAGAGAGAGGTGGAGAAAGGTGTGATTAATTTGTGTTTTTAGCAACATTTAATAAAGAAAACAAACTTACTTGCTGTGTACTGTTGACTTGTGTCCGTAAGATGCAGTCCTTTCAACGTTGTTCCTATGCTCTCTTTGTGAACATCTTAAGTTTCCTGCTTTGTTTCCTGCTGTTGCTCTGTTTGTAAAGCCTTCGGAATAGTTGTCCTGGAAAATGTTGACAGCTGGTCTGCAGCACTTCATCTATATTTCAGAGTAGTGGACTTTACATTCCTCGCAGCACTTTTATGTCCTGCCGAGGTCAGTTAATCTCTTCAGGGACAAGCTTCCTTTGGTTGCAGAGGAATTGTTGCTCTTTTTCAACAGTGTCCATGAGGGTCTGAAATACCCTGAAGACTTGAGTGACAACTTCAACTGCAAAGTCAGAAGGCCATGTGAGACCACCCCTGTCAAGAGCTGACCAGTACGCGTGTCAATCATTTGTAACTGCCACACGCAGCTGACGTTCACAGTGAAGGTCACGCGTAAGGCTTTCGCTACACAGTAGTTAAAGACAAAAACAAGAGCCTTCAACTGCTCGTTGTTTATATCAAAGTCTTGGCGATCACCGAGTATGTGAAAAAATTTGTCGAACTCTGCATCTGTTTGTGAGGCACTCTGTTGGCTTTTTATTTCCTCGAGAGGCTCGATGATGTCTCTCAGACTGAGAGCCCCATTTGAGGCAGACACCAGGTTGAGTACACTCAACAGTTTAAGTTTCTTCTCACCCTCAAGAAGCTGCTGTACTGACACATGGTAGTTACTTCCACTCATCTGCTGGTACCGGCTAAACCTAAATTCCAGGTTGTCGGTTTGGAATTTTCCCGGCAATAGAAATACCGCAAGAGTATGTTTCAACGCTATCATGGTTTCAGATGAGTGTGCCTTGTCTTGGCTTCAACCCTTCCTCTCCCACTCAAAGAACCACTACCAGACGACTTGACTTCTATCAGTTTGAAGTTTTCGTCAGAAAATGACGAGATGGCTCGACAGTCTGCATTTCTCAGCCTGATGTTCTTGTGCGGCTGCTTCACATTTACTATGTTCCACAGCGGAATCACAGTAATCAGGAGCTGTCTTGTACCGCGAGTGTCGACTTGCAAAACAGATCCAAAATTTTTCAGAGCAGCAATGTTTCTTTGATAAAAATTCTCATTCATTGTTCATTGTTTCAGAAAGCAACATCCCTGCACTCTGGACATGTCCATTGATGCTCTGTTGCTCTCTCCAAAATGTTGCTTGGGGTCCTTCCACTGATTGTGCCAGTGCACATTTGGTTGAACGTTCTTCTGTTCTTTCCTGCAAGGATGCCAGATTTTCGCTTCCTTTTTTAAAAATTCTCAACATTAGCTTAATGTTTTGCTTCTCTGTCACTGTTGGATTCAGGCTTTTGTGGTTGAGGGATGGAGCAAGTTTCACTGCCGATGATTTTTCCTCTTCAAAAAATCTCTGAAGGTGGGAGAATGATGCTTTCATTGTTTCCCCTTGACCTTGCAAAGCTAGGAACGTAAAGGTTTTTTCCATGTCGTTTGTGTAAGCCAATTGTTGCGGAGGCATTTGAAGAGGTGTACAGTGTCGAAAAAAAAAAATGTTTTCGACTTCCACAAAGGGTTTTCGATCTTCGATTTGAGCTCTCCTCAACACAGGGCAGTGAAGGCATTCCTGTTGATTCTCTCGTTGTCAGAAATGACAGAGACCATGGTAAACCCACTGCTGTGTCACACACGTTGCACATTTGTAATCATAATGTGTAGCCAGCTGGTGTTTGTGTTTTATACTGGCATTATAGCCACTACGTCTGTTTTTAAACACTTGGGCTGTACTGGCCTCGGCAACTCTGCTGTTTGTGGCTGACCCTTCCAGTTTGCCTTTCGTGTTTGATCATTGGTGGGCGACATGAATTGCATCCACCATCAGGGTATCATTTCTCTCGATGTCTGGCATGTTCTGACTTTTTTTCTCCAAGTAGGCCTGCTGTAGAGCCCCATCCTGAAACCCACTTTGATCTTGAAGGTAGATGAGAGCCTTTTCAGATATGAGGTATGTGGAAGAGTCAGAACTGTGTTCCTCAACATTACCTGTATTACCGTTCCTGGGTAACAATGTAACAATGTCGTTTCACTCTGGACAGGTCCATAAGTGCTCAGTTTCCCCCAGCACCAATGCCCGCAAGGTATCCATACTGATTGTTCTTGTGGCTATCTGATTATGGCGACATCTTTCCTTTCCAGATAATCATTCTTTTCTTCTTTCTCCCCTCTCTATCCCCATTTCCCGCATCCTGATGATTGCTTGGTGTTCTGCTGTCTCCCTGTCTTCATCCAGCTACTTTTCCTCCAGGGTCTTCTACACTTCTCGTTTGTCAAATTTCACCTCCCCATCAACCACGGTACTGCCTGCCAGCCTATCAGCTTCCTCATTACTCTTCACTCCAGAGTGCCCAGGACAGAATATCTACATGATGGCTCTAAGTGATGAGTGTTGTATTGGGTTCATCCATTCTCTCCTAAGCTGCCCTTTCTCAACCCTTCGCAGGATGTTCTGGGAGTCTGTGACAATAATGAGATGGGTAGTTCTTGGTCTTGTATTTTGAAGCTAGCCAAGCGCTCTTGTTACGGCCTCAATCTCCATTTTCATGCTTGAAGTTGTTTTTTCTATGACCCCTGACATGCTATGAACCTGTTTGTTCCCACTGTCGTTCCCGTTAATGACAGCAGCACATTCCCATCTTTCACGAGCCATAGTGATGTGAACGTTGGCCAGGCTTCTGCAATCGGGGCTCAGTTCAAACCATTCCTTTCCTCTGCATATTTCGCAGATGCCACAATCTTTCCTCAAGGAGTCTTTATCTTCTGCCCCATTTGATCCTATTTCCTTTGATGCTGCTTAAGTTATCATGCAAGGGGTGCCTCGGATCTCCCAAAACATTCAAGTACAGCTTTGCCTGTGCCACCTTTTGCCTCACTCTAATGCTGGCCAGGTCAAGGATGTATCTCATACAGACAACACGAGTGTCCTTTGTGCCACCCAAGACTGCCCTCATAGCTGCATTCTGTACTCTCTGCAACCTGTCTATCTGAATCTTGGACAGGGAGAGGATGCCCAGACCATAGTCAATGACTGACAGAACAACCAGCTGCATTAGGAGAAAAAGAACTCTCTGCTGAATTCCCGCTGAAGCCAAGTTCTTCACTACATTAATGCCCTTCTGAGCCCTGACAGCAGCATTGTTAATATGTTTTCGGAAAGAAAGTGTCCTGTTCAGAGTGATTCCCAGGTACTTCAACTCATGCTGTCTGTCTATGAGAAAGTGGTCAAACACAATTGGAGGGTAGGGTGTTTCACAGTACGGTTGTTGAGTGAGCACCAGATGACCTGTGTTTTGTCTGGATTGAGTACTGCATTGTATTCCTCACACCAATCTGCGACCTTGCTCAGCCTGTCATGTAGCATCCGTCCTACCGCTAGCCTATCATGACCTAGTCCGTAGACCATCACATCATCTGCAAAGATTAGGATTCTTCCTGCTCCACTTACACCGTTCCTGGCAATTTTGGATGTATATATGTTGAACAGGACCGGTGATAAGGCTGATCCTTGTGGCAGTCCTGAGGCACTTCAAGGTTTGACATCCATGGCCCGCTTCTCAGCGCCACCTTCATCTCAAACAGCGTCGGAGATCCATTATACCAACCTGGGGTCAACATCTATTTCCATCAGGAGATCCATGAGCTTGCTGTAATCGACTCAGTTGTGAGCATCCTCTAGGTCTATAGCAGCCATCACTATCTCCTCCTTTCTCTGGAACCCTTCAAATACATCAAAGGCTAACACAGCCGTGTTTGTGCAGGTGTCTTCCCTGGTCTGTAGCTTCCAAGGCCATCTGGAAGGACCTTTTTCCTCTCTAGGTAATTTGCAAGCCTTTGACCACAATCTTTTCCAGGATCTTTCCATACGTGTTGTGCATGGTGATGATTCTGTATCCCTTGATGTTGGAGTGGTCTTTGCCTGGTTTAGGAAGAGGCATGAGGTAGCTGTGTAGCCACTCCTCTGGGATCTTGCCTTTTGCCAGACTCTCGTTGAAGTCCTCCACCATGCCCTGTAGATCTTCATCTGCATCCTTAAAATGGCTGCACTATCCTTCGTTCCACTTATGACCCGCTTCACTTCCTGTATTATGACACCCTCTCCATACAGCACCTCTGGCACAGCAGTTTTCAGAAGTGCCCAGATGTTGGCACACTCCTCCTTGTTGCCTCAACATTAAATATGTTTGTGGAGCTGTAGCATATATACGAAAAGCCAAAATTAATGTCTCACAGGTTTATTTGTTCAGCTTGGAAGTCCATCTTCTCCTTGAGGGCTTGGGCTTTGTCATCGTCAGCATCATCGCCTACAATGTTGTGAGTGAATTCTGGTATGGTATGAACAAAGAAGTGGAAGTGGAGGTCCATGATCGCCCACGCCAGTCGGCAAGGCACCGGATGATGATGATGAACAAAGAAATGGATTTGCTGTTTTTTGTCTTTCTTTTCTCTATTATC